TAAGCAGGCGGTACAAGTTAAGCCACTCTGCTTGCATGAGCGGACTCTTCTTGGGCAAGGGGCTCCCTTCTCATTAATGGGACTCTCCATTCACGATGGCAGCTAATGAGGAACGTACAATGATCCAAGTCAGTCAGCCAATTCGATCAGTGCGCAATGCGCCTTTTCAAGGGTGTCTATTTCGTGAACGATGGATAGACACTTAGCCTCATTAATACCTTATGGCCTTCGTTAGTAGTATGACGATTGTTCTACAGGCTGATCTCGAGGCCGTGACATGCATGTGCAGAGCCATGGGTTTTTTTATTGAATTTACATCGCTGAGACGCCCCATGGCCTTGTTACAAGACCACAGAGGAGCTTTCGCGCACATAAACTTTTGTATGCACTGCCCAATGAGTTATCTTTCAGCGCATACCGGTCTAGCTCATGACATGTGATGCGCGCCGTTATTCCCTAGCCAGACAGTTTGACTCTTTGCAGCGTTGCACGCTGACATAGTTGAGTATCAGAGGCAGTGGCCTTTTGCTCCACTTCGCTGCTACTCGGATAAGGCTGAACTACGCCCGGCGCACACTTTAGTTTACAAAACTGTAATATATGTAGCTATGACTTACGCATATCACTTGCTGCTTTCGTCGCATCCATGTGTTGCTCTGAGCCCGACTTCGCCTTCGCCTCGGCTGCTGCACGTTCGTTCAATTTTGACCTCACTGCAATGGAACATCATCGCCTTGATCATGTAGTGTTCGAAGTGAATCAGAAGGAAGTTAATAGATAACCACGCGCACCGAGAACTGGGTTCAAGCCGCACGCATTGTGAACGCTCAGAATGAATAATTCCGCATTGGCAAAGTAAAGAGGAGCGTCAAATCGGAAAACCTTGATCCCTGAAAAGCAAGCATATATTTGTCACCAGAAAGGGGACGTGCTACGCAGATCACAAACTCTGCAATGCCATTTTTGCCGCGCTCGCCGTTATTTTAGAGTAAGCTCTACTTTACACACCGTAATTGGGCGTCCACTCAGCGGCCTCGCACCTGCGGCCTTCCATTTGGACCGCGTTGCACAGCCGCCCTCCGACAATCCGCAATGATGAGGACTGTATACACTCTATGCAATACGTCCAGCCGTTATTGGAGTCATTTCTATTACTAGTGGACAAGCTTGGCAGGAATAAAACACTCCCCAATCTCTTTCGACTCCTATGAAGCCTCCTATGATAGCAGTTGACCAAAACTAATCACGATCATGACTCACAACCAGTCATGATACGTACAAAAGATAGGCGTGTGACTTGTGCATGGCTATGGTACGATTGGTGGAAATGGCGCCTTGGCTGCACTGCGTGCGCATGCTCTATCGTTTTATGGACCGTGACTGTATTTCGGATATCAGGGCATGGAGCATTTCGTAATCCTCGCCCACTATGCAGACTTCCTTTGTCTTTACGTTATTCCACTGGTGCAGGTCTATTTTGAGACCGCCACTTTGCACGATGCCGTGCAGCTCTTTGAGCAGGTTGACTGTTTTCATGTCCGTGTTGATTGCATGCTGTCATTGCGGTCTAGAACTTCCTCTAGGCTTATGGCCTTACATCTCAAAATGTTATGCACTGGCGACGACATAAGACGCGGCGCGTAGGCCGTGGGGTCAAGTAAATATCCGAGCACCTCTGACCAGGCAGGGTGCTGAAGACTGGGTTATGACCCGTTTGCAATACAAAAGGCGGTTCAGTGGAAATTTTATTACTTATGTGAAGAGAGAGCGTAACGGCGTGGGACGAGTGTCTCCTACGCCACCAAAAACGTTGAATGCCCACACACAGGTTTGCCCCGACTCCATGAGAGAAGGAGAGGGAGCTCGACATTGACATAGACATGATAAAGGGAGGGAGGTCGTCGACAACGACACACCCCGCGAGTAAAGAAGTACTCACCAGGAATTTCCTCGGCACTGCGGTAATGGCCCAGTCCTTTGAAGTCTGATGTGCCGGGTATTCGGCCCATACAGGTGCTGTCAGCCCTGAAATATCGCTGTTTTTCAAATCCATGAGAGTAAAGCTCATTATGTTCGCGACCGCAGATTCCCTTGTTCAGACATGCTATGTTACAGGGCAGGGAAAGGAGCGCTTCCACGAGAAAAGTGAATTTACTGGCACGGCTCTGTCCATGAGACCAGTGTGCGTCTCTAACTGTAAGAAGCGATGCTTGAAGCTTGTTATGTGTCCATGACTGTTGTGCAATGT